TGCTACAACTCTAACCTGTGTTTCCAGAGACCATATCAGCCTATCGGCCCAAGAGTGGTTATTAGCAACAGGCTGTTATCTTACCTACTATTTCAAGTTCTGCAGCTGTGGAAAGTTATTTTAATGATTTCTGAGAATCCTAGGAAGATCTCACATGAGCTCTCTGCCTACTCTCTGATAGATAGAATCCTCCATTTTCCTTCCCTTTAATATAGGCTGCTCATCACTATTTTTCTGCCAGTGACTACTTTGAAAAAAGTAACACCGATGTCAGGACATTGATTCTCTCAGCTGCTAATGCCAGGCAGCTCTGTGTTCTCTGGAGTCCAAAGTGCCTATGATTTTCTCCATTTTGTATGTACATGTATGGAATGTTTTTCTCTTCCATTCAGTTTCATGCCTCATTATTCAATCACCAAAAATGTAGTCTCTCCATTTCCTTGAGTTCTTCATCCACTTAGCTTAGATGCAAGGCAATGAAGTTGAGTAGAGAACCAATGATAGAATCAAGCATGTGTTGCATCCTCTGACTTGAGGCTTATTTTCCCTGCCTCCAAAAAAATTCATTCTATCTTCTTAGGCAAATACAAATCACTGTTTATAAACCTGGGTTTCCCTACACAGAGATGAATATGATTCAGTCCATGTGCTCTCCAAAATCCTACAAGCAAGAACGAGTTATGAAAACCAAACAAATATACATCCACTCCTCACTTATTGACATGGTTAGGCTCCAAAGACCAGTTTGTTATATGAAAATCGGTGTTATGTGAAAATGGAGGATGACCACATCAGATCCCCAAACAAAGGATGACTACATCATTACATAACTGCCAAACTACATGATTACATAACTGCCAAACCACTGAGAATCATGGCCTAGCCAAGTTGACACATAACCTTAACCATCACAGCCAGTGTTATTCTTGCCTCGTACCTCAGCGCTCGTTACTGCCAGACGTATGTAATTAATGCACAAAATAGTAGGATAGTAGATTTTTTACTACTGTCATAAATGTCAGATAACAAGACAGTTGATAAGTGAGGAGTAGATATATAAATATATATATGTATATATATGTGTATATATATATATATATATATATATACACATTATATGGCCTAGGATACAATTCCTATAAATTACACGTAAGGAGCACTATTTCTATTCTACATCATGATATAAAAAAAAAACTTCCTGAGCCTATAATAAGTATTTTCTTTCTTCCTTCCTTCCTTCCTTTTTTTTTCTTTCTCTCTTTCTATTATTCATTCATTAAAATACATGTACACATACACAATAGTGCTGTATGCCAGTACAGGCCTACCTTGTTTTATTGCACTTCTCTTTATTGATCTGTGCAGATATTGCATTTTTTACAAATTGAAGGTTTGTGGCAACCCCGCATAGAGCAAGTCTATCGGTACAACTTTTCAAACAGCATGTGATCACTTCATGTCTCTGTGTCACATTTTGGTAATTCTGACAATATTTCAAACTTTTTCATTATTATTATATCTGTTATGGTGATCTTGTTTTGGAGTGCCACAAACCACGCCCATATAAGAAGGCAAATTTAATCAATAAACGTTGTGCTTGTTCTGACTACTCCACCAACCAGCTATTCCCTTGTCTCTCTCTCTTCTCTCCCTGGACCTCCCTTTTCCGTGAGACATGACAATTTTGAAATTAGGCCTATTAATAATCCTATGCTGGCCTCTAAGTGTTCAAGTGAAAGGAAGAGTCGCTTGTCTCTTACTTTAAATCAAAAGCTAGAAATGATTAAGCTTAGTGAGGAAGGCATGTCAAAAGCTGAGATAGGCCGAAAGCTAGGCCTTTTGCGCCAATTAGCAAAGTTGTGAACGCAAAGGAAAAGTTCTTGAACGAAATTAAAAGTGCTACTCCAGTGAATGGAGCCCTGGTGGTGTAGTGGTTAACAGCTCAACTGCTAACCAAAAGGTCGGCAGTTCAAATCCACCAGCGGCTCCTTGGAAACCCTATGAGACAATTCTACTCTGTCCTGTACAGTCGCTATGAATCAGAACCAACTCGACAGCACCTAACAACAACAACTCCAGTGAACACACAAATGATAAGAAAGTGAAACAGCCTTATTGCTGATATGGAGAAAGTTTTAGTGGTCTGGATAGAAGATCAAACCAGCCACAACATTCCCTTAAGTCAAAGCCTAATCCAGAGCAAGACCCTAACTCTCTTCAATTCTGTGAAAGCTGAGAGAGGTGAAGAAGCTGCAGAAGAAAAGTTTGAAGCTAGTAGAGGTTAGTTCATGAGGTTTAAGGAAAGAAGTCGTCTCCCTAACAAAAAAGTGCAAGGTGAAGCAGCAAGTGCTGATGTGCAAGCTGCAGCAAGTTATCCAGAAGATCTAGCTAAGATAATTGAGGTAGGCGGCTACACAAAACAACAGATTTTCAGTGTAGATGAAACAGCCTTATATTGGAAGAAGGTGCCATCTAGGACTTTCATTGCTAGAGAGAAGTCAATGTCTGGCTTCAAAGCTTCAAAGGACAATCTGACTCTCTTGCTAGGGGCTAATGCAGCTGATGACTTTAAGTTGAAGCCAATGCTCATTAACCATTCTGAAAATCCCAGGGCCCTTAAGAATTACGCTAAATCTACTCTGCCTGTGCTCTATAAATGGAACAACAAAGCCTGGATGACAGCACATCTGTTTACAACATGGTTTACTAAATATTTTAAGCCCACTGTTGAGACCTACTGCTCAGAAAAAGATTCCTTTCAAAATATTACTGCTCAGTAACAATGCACCTAGTCACCCAAGAGCTCTGCTGGAGATGTACAAGGAGATTAATGTTGTTTTCATGCCTTCTAACACAACACCCATTCTGCAGCCCATGGATCAAGGAGTAATTTCAACTTTCAAGCCTTATTATTTAAGAAACACATTTCCTTGGGCTGTAGCTGCAATAGGTAATGATTCCTCTGATGGATCTGGGCAAAGTAAATTGAAAACCTTCTGGGAAGGATTCACCATTCTAGGTGCCATTAAGAACATTTGTGATTCATGGGAGGAAGTCAAAGTATCAACATTAACAGGAATTTGGAAGAAGATGATTCCAACCCTTGGACGACTTTGAGGAGCTCAAGACTTCAGTGGAGGAAGTAACTGCAAATGTGGTGGAAATAGCAAGATAACTAGAATTAGAAGCGGAGCCTGAATACGGGACTGAATTGTGGCAATCTCATGACAAAACTTTAACACATGAGGAGTTAACTGCTTCTTATGGATGAGCAAAGAAAATGATTTCTTGAGATGGAATCTACTCCTGATTAAGATGCTGTGAACATTGTTGAAATGACAACAAAGGATTCAGAATATTATATAGTTGAAAAAGCAGCGGTAGGGTTTGAGAGAACTGACTCCAATTTTGAAAGAAGTTATATTGTGGGTAAAATGCTATCAAACAGCATCACATGCTGCAGAGAAATCTTTTATAAAAGGAAGAGTCAATCAATGCGGCAAACTTCGTTATTTTAAGAAATTGCCACAGCCAGTCCAACCTTCAGCAACCATCACCCTGATCAGTCAGCAGCCATCAATATCGAGGCAAGACCCTCCGCCAGCAAAAAGATTACAACTCACTGAAAGGTTCAGATGATGGTTAGCATTTTTTAGCAATAAAGTATTTTTTAATTAAGGTATGTGCATTTTTTAAAACATAATGCTACTGGACACTTAACAGAGTAAACCAAAAAATTTACTGTGACTCGTTTTATTGTGATATTCACTTTATTGTGGTGGTCTGGAACTGAACTTACAATATCTCCGGGATATACCTATATTGTGTATAAAATGGTAAACAAAAGAAAGTAAGAAAGAAAGAGATAGAGAAGGAAAAAGACAAATTCCCCACCCTTACATTTTACTTGTGAAAGTTAGAAAACTAATAAGTAGGAAATATTTTTAGTAAACAAGTACCTTCCACATGGTGGTGAGTGACATGAAGACAAAAAACAGGGCAATGTGATAGAGAGTTTTTGGAGGCAATCTTTACATACAGTGGTCAGAGAATTCCAAAATGAGAAAAGCTATATAGACACAAAATTGCAGTGGGTGCCCAAAAATTCTAAGGATGAGAAATTAATCATAGCAAGAGATAAAGGCCAGAAAGGTAAAAAAGGATTCATGAGGAACCTTGCGTGCCATGATAAAGAGTTTGGAATTTGGGTTGAAGGGAATGAAAAATCACTGGAAGGTTTTAAGAAGGAAAGTGGGGAAATTCTTGTTTTAGAAGGTGGTAGACACATATTTATACATATGTTGTATAATCTATTATCATACTTTTTGTGTTCTGCTTTTTAAACTTATTTGTAAATATTTTTCTATGTTGCTCATAATCTTCCTGTAAATTATTTTTCAGAGGCTTATCTTTTTATACATGCTAAGCAAGTTCATATATTTTTACTTTGAGAGTTATAGAGAAAAGAGTAGTGCATCCCCATTTAATGAATTCTATATGGTAGATGTCTGACTGCTTTCTAAGCAGGATGGTTTATATGGTGTTGGACAAATATTTGGACAAATTTTCTCATTTAAATATCAATGCTTGCCATGGTATCATTTAGTGTGTCAGACTCATGATATGGTCCAACACATAGCTGACAGTCAGGAAACCACACACAGTGCAGACTATGCAAGAGTTCGTGTCAAATTTATAAGAAGAAAGACAATCTCTGCCTACTGAAGGAAGATGTGTACAGATCCCATAGAAATCTTGGATGAGGTGAGGTTTCTTTCAGTAACGGAGAATATAGGGAAAGACAACTGATGAGTTGAAAAGACATAGCTGAGGTTCAGTGACGCTTGGGAGAGAGCATCAGAAAGGAGGTATAATAGCCTAAAGAGAGAATATCTAATAAGTGGGACTGGAGTACGTGAGTATATAAAAAATACTAAGAGAAAATTTTTTTCTGACAAAAATATTTCATCCTCTGGGTTTTATGCAGATATATCCAAGCAATGGAAAAGGGAAACCAAACCAACATCTCCGAATTTCTCCTCCTGGGCTTCTCCAATTGGCCAGGGCATCAGGCACTCGTAATCTCACTTTTCCTGTGCCTCTACTTAACAGGACTATTGGGGAACTTGCTCATCTTGCTGGCTATTGCCTCGGACCATCATCTGCACAGACCCATGTATTTTTTCCTTGCCAATCTGTCCTTGGTAGACCTCTGTCTTTCTTCAACTACGGTTCCCAAGGTGCTGCTGAATATCCAAACACAGACTCAGTCCATCTCCTATCCTGCCTGCCTGGCTCAGATGTACTTCAGTATAATGTTTACCAACATGGGCAATTTTCTTCTCACAGTAATGGCATATGACCATTATGTGGCCATCTGTCACCCTTTGCATTACTCCACCATTATGACCCAGTGCCTCTGTGCTTGCCTGGTGGCTGTTCCCTGGATCATTGCCATCTTGAACCCCCTCTTGCACACCCTTCTGATGGCCTGTCTGCAGTTCTGCTCTAACAACGTCATCCACCATTTCTTCTGTGATAGCAACTCTCTCCTCCCTCTATCCTGTTCTGACACCAGCCTTAATCAGTTGATGGTTCTGGCTGTGGTGGGGCTGCTCTTTCTGGTGCCTTCAGGGTGTATCCTGGCATTCTATGCCCACATCATATCTGCTGTGATGAAAGTTCCTTCTGCCCAAGGAAAACTCAAGGCTTTCTCCACTTGCGGATCCCACCTTGTCTTGGCCATTCTTTTCTATGGAGCAGTCACAAAGATCTATATGACTCCCATATCCAATCATTCAACTGATAAAGACTTAGTGGCATCAGTAATTTTTATTGTGGTAGCCCCTGTATTGAATCCCTTCATTTACAGTCTAAGAAACAGTGAACTGAAGGGACTTAAAGAAGGTCCTAGACCAAAGCAAAATCTTCTCCCAGTGATTTATACTGGCTGGAGAATTCAATAGGAGCAAATTTAATGAAATCATCATTCTCATTCTCACCATAATTACAAAATTACAAAGCAGTTTTTAAGTACCTAATTGAACTTGGTATAACCTAAACTCTAAAAGTGACATAATCACAGCCCTTATCCATGTGAGCACTCTGAGATTATTGATGTGGATAAATATTTATATGTAAAGTCCCTCAAACTACAAAAAAAAATTAAATCAACATTTGAGTGAATTGTTAAGGCATCAAATGAAGCTCAGATTAACACAGTAATAAATTACAGAGAGTCCACAATAGAGGATGGCCCCAGGACTGTCCTCCTCCTAGAGTAGGATGGAGTAGATGACCCCATTGTTATACATGAAAAGCACTAGAGAATAAAGTTACTATGAAATCAAATGTGCAAACCATAACTGCAATGTGAGGTCAAAGGAAGAAGAGATTGGTGAGGAGTGAAGAGGTCAAGGAAAGCTTCAAGGAAAAGATGCTTAATTTGGCTCTTAAATGATGGGTGAGATTTACATAGGAATGAAGAGAATGTTCAAGCACATGAGGAAGCTTTGTAGGTAAGAACAGGCATGGTGTATATTGAAAAAACTGATCTGAATGGATTGAATGATCTGTATTAGGAACCGGTGGGAGTGAGGATGGATAGTTATACCTCATCCTGATGTTTTATGTTTATTTGTGTTTTGTGATTATATTGTATGCATTTCCTATAAACTGTCTCTTTTTTTTTTCCTTGTGTAAAAAACAGGATTTATATCTATGTCTATGTACATATCTATCTCTAAAATTGTATCTATATAAATCTTTATGCTGGTCTACAAACGATTGCTTGGGAGGCTATTAATCATCATTTAAAAATCTGTATTGTTATTCACTCTGAAACATGCATAGAGTTGCCTATATGAGAAACAACCACACCAGCAATTAAAAGCCTATGCTTTTGTGATGGTTGATTTGGAATTCATATCTGATTTAACTGGTGGTTTTTGGTGTCCACAATGTCTCTCCAGAGCACTACAAAGTACATTTTTCCATATGCCATTAAATACTGTATTTTAAGTCATGCCATCCAAAATACTTCTCAAACTGGGAAAAAACTATCTTCATGTTATGTAATATATGACTGGAGCCCTGGTGGTGGAGTGGTTAAGAACTAGGCTGCTAAACAAAAAGGTCGGCAGTTCAAATCCACCAGCTACTCCTTGGGAACACTATGGGACAGTTCTACTCTGCCCTATAAAAAAGACAAATAGGTAGAGGTAAGAGATAGAGATAAAAAGGAATTATACTATAAATGTTTGTTTATTTGTTTGTGATGGAGAGCCCTGCTGGAAATTGCATTTGTACTTTTTACTCTTCTCTGATGAAAGACATAAGAAAAATTTGTTACACCATATAAGGACCAGATCAGAACACAATCCCCTATTTCTTGAAAGACTTTTGTATGTGTCATATATTTTAGTTGTGTTGGGAATATGGTCTGCCTCCATGTCTCCCATCCAATCCACCTAAGCAGAGGCCTTGGAACAGAACATTCCTGATAAAGAAGCTAAGAGTTGGGTCACTGTCTGTCTCCCAGTCCCTTCTTCTTTTCAGGGAAGCCATCCTCCCTCTTCTGGGCACACAGTTACTTTCTCTGTCCTGCTCATTCACTGGCACCAAATGGCACCTGGCCATCTCCACTTCTATATCTATTTACTTCGAGTGTGGCACAGAGGGGTGCACAGAACATCTGTCCTGCACTGGCCACAAAATGTGACTCCCTAGCCATGGGAGAACAGTGCCTGCAAGTGAAACTGACCTTGCTCTGTCTCTTCTTTATGTGAATAAATTGTTGCCCCATGCACTGCCTGTGTGTGTGTGCTTTGTCAGTGACCTTGAACTTTTTTAGGACAAGCTGCAAGCAACAGAAACCAATTCTACTTAATAAGGCAGAAATTGAATATAATGAAAGAATAATGAGTAGTTAATAAAATTGTTTGAACTGCTAAAGAATCAGGCTTGGAGATCCACAACCAGACGGAAGCCAAAACAACATACAAAGTCATGTTAGGACTGACTTCTTGCCCCACTCATGCTACCTGCCCTGGACACTGGATGCCTATACTAGCCTGCTGCCCTGCTGACCCATAAACTGGACAAGTATGCCACTGCCACCACCACCAGAAGATTTTCCATTGCCTCTAGTTCATTGTATCACTGATTCTTGATTCAAATTGCAGGGTAGCTGTATCTGATTGGGTCAACACAGAGCAAATGCCATTACCATAAGCACAAGGAAAACTGAAAAAAAGAGTATCTCAAATTTTTTACTGTACTGAACACCATGCTGTGCTTCCCAAATCTTCCTTCAGTACTGAAGTGCTTATTCCTCCAGCTGCTGGGAGTGTTGTCAGCTGATATCCCTCTCTGACAGCCCTCACTGTCAGCCCTCTCGAGATATTGCCCTCAACTGAAAAGAGCAGACTGACACAATCTCATAATCCCTCTCTAAAGGCAAGTTAAGGAGCCCTGGTGGCACAGTGGGTAAGCACTCACCTGCTAACCAAAAGGTCAGCAGTTCAAACCCACCAGCCACTCCACAGGATAAAAATGTGGCAATATGCTTCCATAAAGATTACAGCCTTGGAAACCCTATGGGGCAGTTCTACTGCGTCAAATAGAGTTGCTATGAGTCAGAATCGACTTAATGGCAAACAACAACAAGGCGCAAGCTGAATCCAATGACTGGACTCTTGAGGGGATAGAACAGCCCAACCTCCTTAACCCAAATCAAGGCAACTCTGAAGGACCATCTTAGTTCCATGGGCCAAGTTTAGTTCTAGCTAAAACCCTTTTTGTGATTGTATCACAGCCCAACTTCTTCTGCCCAATGTTGCTACCTTTACTCCCTCACAGGCATCAATCCCAAACTTGCCCCCTAAAAACTTCCTGCGTGTCAATCTCATCTGAGTATGCATTTCTTGAAACCCAAAATGCAACACCACCTATAATAAGCAGTTAGATAACATTCTCTGAATATAATGCAAGAAAATTAAAAACTGACAGCAAATTCAGAAACAAAAAGGCCCTCTACTTGAAATGTTTTTAATTCTCTCTTAAATTAACTCTTGATTCAAGGAGAAAATATAAACATTTCAGACTCTATAGAAAATGATGAAAATCATACCACTACATATGGGAACAGCTAAAACAGTGTGCAGAAGAAAAGTCATAGCCATAAACCCTTATATGAAACGTAAATGAATATAATTAAGGATGTAACTAAAACAGTAAAAAGAAGATTACAAAATAAACTGTATGAATGCAAACTAAATTAAGATGAAAGTAGAGATTAAGGAATCAGAAAACAGAAAAAAGAACAATAAAACTTATGCATAAGTCCAAGTAATGGATATTTAAAAAAAAATTTAACAAAATTAAGAACCACTGCCCAACCCTATTAACAAAAAGAGGGGAAAGCACAAATATGCAATATAAGAAACAAAAGAAAATATGTATAGAAACAGAAAATTTGAAGAAACATAAAACTAAAGTACTTCACTTAGATCTATGAAAACAAATTTGTAAATATAAACAAAATGGGTGATTTTCTAGGAAAATATTTATCAAAACTGACCCTAGAGGAAATATAAAATCTAAACAGATTGATTTCTATAGAGCAAATTCAATTTTCAAATAACTAACACCCAAAAAGTATCAGACCTCAAGGTTTCATAGGGGAGCGCTACCAAACCTTAAATAGTTATCAGAGCATAGAAAAACTTATAAAATATATTCAAATGGGCAGTAATATTGTTATGAAAAGCTGACAAATAATAGACAAAATTAAATTCTAAAAAATCCCACTCATAAATTCATATGTAAAAAATATAATACTAGCAAAAGATTCCAGCAGCACTTAAAGAGAATAATACATCATGAACAAGTGAGGAATATTCCAAGAATGCAAGGATGGTTCAAATTTAAGATACCTGTTAACATAATTTGTCACAATAAAATAAATAGTAAGCAATCTTAAGAAAAGTCCCAGATAAAGATGAAGAAATTGTTAGGCCAGTACTGCAGAAAACAAAAGAAGACTTCAATAAAGTTTACAGTACCATAAAAAAAACCCAAATCCCGTTGCCTTTAAATCAATTCCAAATCATAGCAACCCTACAGGACTGAGTACGACTGCCCCAGTTTCCAAGGCTGTAAATCTTTACAGAAGTAGACTGCCACAACTTTCTCTTGCAGAGAAGCTGGAAGGTTCAAATCACCAACATTTTGATTACCAGCCAAGCATTTAAACACTGTACCACCAGGCTCCTTTATAGGACCATAAAGATGGTCAACTCTCCCTAAATTAATTTATAATGTAATGTGCTCCCAAAAATTACCAACATTATAATATCTAAAAAGAGGTACTAAAACTTATATGAGACTTACATAAATAAGTAGGAGCAATGAGATCTATCAAATATTAAAACATTGTACAATCCCCATGATAGTGTAGCATTGACATTTGACAAAACAAACCAATAGAACAGAATAGAAAGTCTAGAAATTGATGCAATAATGAACAGGATTTTAATATAAGAAAAAGGTAGAAAATTATAAAAAGGAAAAATATACTATTTAATAAATGGTATAGGGACAACCGGGTACTTATTTGAGAAAAAAATGGATCCATTATTCATACCTTACAACCAAAAAATAATAAATGAAGCAAAAGCTTAAATGTAAAAATGATGAAACATTAAATGTACAAAGATAAAGCAGAGGAATATTTGTTTATATTCAAAATCTAGAAATCATATACAAAGAAGATCATAGATCCAACTACACAAAAGTTAAAAAAACAAAACACAAAAAAACTTTTACATGGCAAAGACATCAAAAAGAAAATGGAAAGAAAAATGTAAAACAGCAGAACATATTTGAAACTCACATCAAAATCAGAAAACTAGAGTAAGAAACTCCTAGAAATAAATAAG